CACTCTTTCTCCCACTTAGAGCCTCAACCTTAGGTACCCGAGTATCCCGAGCTTTCAAAAGTTTTAGTTGCTCTTTCACATCTGCTCCTTTCACCAAACCAGCATGAACAGCAATCAACTTGCAGCATTTAACTCCATCACCAGTGTTCACAAAGACATCGTCCTAGTAAAATGTGATCCAGAGAGCTTTCAGCAGTTGTTCATTTAATTCACATCAGTAAGCAAACGAAACAAGGATTGCTGAACCAAGGGACAACCAGATAGCTTGGATATCTATTAAATGATATGACTACAAACACAGAGGCAAACAAAGTAAGCCCCACCTCTTCATGGACCCAAACCAAATCAGCAAGAAATTTCTTATGCTCATCAGGAACAGCCTTAACCAAATCTGCATGCAATGAACTACCCTTCAGCCAACGGAATAGCAACACTCAATTTTAAAAAAATAGAGTTAATGTACATACTTTGACCTATAAGATTTCATCTACATAAATTAATCCTTTGATAGATGAAATCATATATTGACAACATGATGGGTTAAACTTGTTAGCAAGTTGATACTTTAACCAATCTGTACAGACATGTACAATTAAGAACCAATGCAACACATTTGTCACTTTCAAAACCAAATACTACATTAATTATGAAGAAATTCAATGTTAGATATACATAGGATTTTGCATGAATAATTGTAACAATTCTTTAGGGTATGTTGGATTGTAATTTTAGAGGGAAAGAAGGGATGAAAACAAAATATTTTTAAATTCAGAAAGTTATGTAATGTTTATAAAAATAAATAAATGATTAAGACATTAAGTTCTTATTAATATATCAGTTTATTTCTTTCATTTAAAAAAAAAAAATCTTATCACAGAATATTATTAGAAATGAAAATCTTATCCTCTCTTTCATTCTCCAAAACCCAACTCTCACACACCATTACAAAATCCAAACACCGCGGATATCGAATTTGCAAATGGATCTTGCTAAGATCATTACAATATCTATCCGCCTAAAAAAGCAAGTGCTAGATAATTCTAGCATTTTATATATAATAAGTGTTTTCTTTCTCCAAAAGAAAAAAAAAATACTTTTCTTTCCTTAATCACTCTCTTAGGTAGTGGTTAGCATTGGTCTTTCCAAATTAATCAATTATTTCATTACCAAAATCAATGAGTTTACTTTTCATTGTGGATATAAAGATTGTGCAAGACTTGGACCCGGTACATAGCTTATGTTCTCTATAAGATTTCTCATTTTCACATATCAACTAATCAAAAACATGACTTGTAAAACAGTTATTATAAAAGACTTTCAACATATCATCTACGACAATCTATGATTGGAAGACGGAATAAAGAAGCTTTATATTTTGACACTACCATTTTATTCTACATTCAAATAGCAATAAAATAACGTGATAAGAGGAAAAATCATTAAGGGTAACCACTCAGATAGAGATTTGTCATAAGTAAAATTACTAAATACTTCACACCAATAACTATAAATAATATAAATTTAAATCTAATTCAATCCTACAGATCAGCTTATAAAGTAAAGATTATTTAGAACTTATATACACAATTTTAATTATATTACTGGTAATGCACTCCCACCTACAAAATCATCTAGTAACGTCTTTCATTCTATAATGTATGTGACATTTTCAACAATAACATAATTATCAAAGATAATAATAGCAAAAAAAGAAAAAATTTAACTACAGATCCTTAAAGAGATATGCATTAAATACAAGTGTATAATAGCAACAAGCTCTAACTCTTATTAGAAAAGAAGACCAAGCAACAGTTAAAAGTAATTGTAACAAATTTTTATCCATAAAAAATCCTCTAATATTAGCTAAAGGAAGAGAGGCGAACCAGAGGAACCATGGGGAACTCCATAGGACTCAAAGGTGGGTCCAGCGTCGTAAATGGACCCCTGATACTCGGTGCCCTTAGCAGTGTTAAACTTCACTGTGATGTTACCACTCCACCTTCGACCCTGCAAGTGCATGTCCTCATACCCCTCGCCCTTGAACCACCCTTCGCGCGCCTCGCTCCCCTCGTACTCCCTCCACCCCTCCGAGAACGCCGACCCGTCCGACGGAGGCGGGAGGAGGCGGAGGAAGGCGGCGAAGGCCAGGTCGTGGTTGCCGCACAGGAAGACGTGCCTCTGCCGCGGGTGCCGCGACGGCAGGGCCGCCAGGAAATCGATGACGCGGCGGGTGTCGGGGCCTCTGTCGCAGTAGTCGCCGAGGAAGATTACGGTGGCGGTTTCGAATTGGGATCGGTCGATGCTGCTTTCGAGGTTCGACCACAGGTTCTGCAGCTTCGTTATGAAGCCGTGGATGTCGCCCACGCAGATTACTACCCTGGCTTTTGGGGGCTCTGACATCGGTGCGATTTTGTGGGCTTCGGTGTGCTTCGAGTTCGACTTGCTCGCTTCGTGTTTTGGAGAATTTGGTTCATGTACGTGTCTAGGAGAATCTTAAATCTTGGTGCAGTGTATTCCATGGTTCTTATGGATGGGATACTTGGATAGGTGGTATTTTTAATAAATAAAAATCCATACATCTATTTATCTATAATATATATATATATATATATATATAATATTATAAAAATATATATATTTTGATAACCATCTTTTTAATTTTTCATTTTGTATTAAATACCATTATTCTTAAATTTAATAATTATTTTTCTTCAATATTTCTTTAAAAATAAATATACAAAAGTATTAAGCGTCTCTTTGCTTACCATATAAAAGTAACTTCATTCTTATTTGATTTTTGTACACTGTTTTCTAAAAAATAAAATACATGACACGACATATTCTTTGCTAATAAGAAAAAAATAGTAGAGTTTTATATATTGCGTATGATTTAGTGGCTGGTTACTTTTATGTTTAATAAAATTAATATTAATATACAATTTGGTTTTAAATTGTTAAACGTTACTAGTATGCACCCACTATTCATAATACAAAGAACTTATCACTGAATTATTTGGATCGCTCCGGTAAAAAATTAAAATAATATACATTGATAATATCAAAGGGCTTGTGGCACTAGATTCAACTAAATTTGAATATAGATGATAGAAAATTGAAATAGTATATAAGGGTCCTAAATTTAAACTTACTATCATTATTGTAATTCTGATATGGCTAATCCTTGATAACTTAGACTAATTCACGCATTGAGAGAAGGTAATTGTTGAGCACTTCTCTCTCTCTGTTTTTTTTTTTTTTTTTTTTTTTTTTATTTTTATTTTTTTACCCTAAAGAGGAGGCTT